TTTGTGCATTCAGTGTGGTGGTCTAGTGGGCGAAATTGCCAACTTACCCCTATTTAGGGTGAGTTTCTACCCAAATAAATCCGTAACGTTCACACTTTTTCCCGTGCTTCGGGTAGGCTTTTAACAATATACTCTTAGGATAATTCACTCATGTTCAGAGTTCCTTTAACTTTGCGGGTTGAATTCATTTCATTTGACAATGCTTTATGAGTTTCCGTGTTTTGTTGATCTATCTGTTGTTATTTTGTTCTCTTTCTCTCAAAATCCATATTTCTGGCTTCACTGATAGAAAACAAAATACTTTGAGAAGATAAATCTTTCAGCGAATGGCTGCACAGAAAGTGCAAGAGATGGTACCAGAGCAGCTGTGTAAGGCAGTTCCGAAAATGGTCAACGAAAAAGTGAATCCACTATTTAGGAAACTACCTCAGGGCATTCCATTCTCGCAGATTCTTTCAATGGCTGGCGGGTTGTTTGGTCCAGATATACCTCCAATTGTGAGTTTATTATCATTCTCGTTATTGCCAGCAAATACCAACACTCGTCTATTCATCATCCTCTTGTCGGATGCTTATTTATGTGTCAAATTGCTGGAGCGATCTAAGTATTATATTTCGATGAAATTTTTTTATTTTTCATTGACATTTCCTTGTCTTCTTCTCATTTGAAATTGAATTTCAGTGTTACTCAGACATGTGTCAAAAGCGTAACGCCCCTCCAACTACTACGTTAGCACCGCTGCCCCCTCTCGATCAGTCGTCGAATCTACCCCCAGATGTACCTCCTCCTCCGGCCCTTGACGCGAAACCAAACGCGAAACCCTTACCAGTGTCCACAAACACGAACTCAATTTCCACAACATCGTTCGGAAAGAAGCCTCTGCCCTCAATTGGTGATGAACAATATCGATGGAGACGTGCTCATGCAGCTGGACGATCAGCTAAGGTTTATATCAGATACTATGATATATCAAAAATCTTGTTAATATTCTGATTATTTTTCGATGACAGTTTGTGATGATATAACGCAGATCGTAAAGTTAAGGTGATGTGATATGAAGAGTGTTAATGATAAGGGAGTAGCTGCAATGAGATGTGTATAAAATAGCATGATACCGTTGGTTTGAACCTCATATTATCAGAGTAAATTATTCCAGAGTTTGATTAGTGTCTCATTTTACAAGCGATTGAGGCAAGTCTGTAAGCGATATTTTACCAAAGGCATCATTAATGGACATAATCTCTGATATTTTGATAGATCTATCTCATTATGTAAATTGCAGACCTTCGTACCTGGTCGAGCAGCAGCTCGTAATTCAGTTGTCAGATCGAAACGTTCCCCGATGACCTTCCACAATAATCCGGCTCCACCTCAGGCTCAAAAACTGCTTCGATCACCGACATACTCAAACCAACAACAGAATCAAAATCAGCGAACACATAAGAATAATGCTGCAACGATCTCATCAAAGCATTACGTTAATCACAATCTCAATTCCAATCAACAACAGTTTAAGTCAAATGCACAACTGAACCAAGTACTGCGTAATAATGGTACATTTGCAAAGGCACTCGGAACGGCCGTTGGCACGGCGTTCAGTTTTGCAGCCAGATCAGCGCTTGGAGGACAGAGCGTAATCGGTAGCAATATCAATAGTTTCGGCGCTAGGTTCAATGGTGGAGGTATCGGCGGAGGTGGGGGACCGATCAGTATGAGCCAAGTGGGCATGCGAGATGTGGTCGGGTTTAGAGGAGGTGATCCGTGTGCGGTATGTCCACCGGGCACCGATAACGACCCACTTGGTGCAGTGATGAGCTTATTGAAGAGTTCGTTCGATTTCGTGAGTCATTCAAATCAATATTCTTCGAGTTACGGAATCTCTTATTGCCCTGTTCCAGACGATATTATTGTTCATTTGCTTATTCAAGAAATCAATAGTCCGTTCGTTTGAGTTAAAAGAAAGTCTTACGATAACGCAATGACGAATCATTTTTGGGGATGTAGATCGTTCGAAAGTGATTACCAGGCAAATAAAGAGAACGAACGGGATAAATTGAGTGATTCAAGGAATTCTCAAGAATAAGGACGATTTTTGACAACTTTATTTGGTCAGAAATGGAATTATTGAAATTTCCATGTCGAAGTTCAAAAAATTTCGTAAGAAACGAACAGAATATGCTGAATGAATTCAAAAATTTCAGCGGCGATTGTCAGATTTGGTGCTCTCATTGAGACTGCTGAATGGTTATATGACACCGAATAGTATGAATTTGATGGTGAGCGGTGAATTCAGTCCAGGCGGTTACGGAGGCACTCCGTTCGGTCCATATCCAATGCAGTTCCCATCACCCGTTGGGAATCGCATGGTTGAAGCGTTGATCAGTGATTACACGATAAATTCATTGCTTTATTGGATGCATAGGTTCGATTTTTTAAAAGAATCACTTTCATTGTAGTTGTTATTCGTGCTGTTAGGATTGCTGCTGCCGTTATAATCAGTACTCTTTGTTGTTGATCAGTAACACATCATTGTTCTCTTTTGATGGATAGGTAGGAGTATTGCATCAGTGATAAGGATGGGAAGATTGTCCTGATTCGAGTATTTCAGGAAAGGATTCCTTGGTTTCCGATTAGGTCCAAATACACCAAAAATTGGCGCCTTGCTCAAAACAACATGTTCAAGTGACGATTATGACTATTCCAGTTCTGAAGAAACCGTAAGTCGTTATCAATGAACCACTTTTCAGCTGAACAGTGACGAAGGAGAACTCCCAGTAGGGAGATCACGAGCAAAATCCTCGACGAATAGCTCCTAGTCGGGTTTTTTTTGCTCCATAAGAAACGTAACTTGTATCTGCTATATCTTTTATCGATACCATAAATTTGTTGGAAAATTTAATCATTTTTCATATTTGTCTGAAAATGAGTAATGAAAAAATTGAACTTCAAATTTCTAACGAGCATATCTTCATTTCTGAATGAGAATTTCGCATCCTTTGGAGTGCTGTATTAAAATTTCAGTCTGCTACTGAAGACGAAGACACTGACACAGACAAAGGTGATGCAGATTTGGCGTCTGATACGGATAAAGCAGATACTGCTAAGGAAGATACTGCTAAGGAGGATACTGATACCGATGATGAGGAAAGGATGGGCCGAAAGGTGAGAAAAGTTGGTAAGCGACGACTGAAAAGATGGCGGCGATTATCTATGTTGAAGTGGTTCAAACGACCGAAACGTCAAGGACTGTCGTCGTTGGATTTGGCAGAACTGGGCGTGTGTTTGGGCGATATCATGCCTGCGATCTCCGAGAAATATCCCAATAAGAACCTGACTTTGTTCGTGCACACTGCACGGGCACCGTCGATTCTGTTGGGACGAGGAGGTTGGTGAAGTTTGATTTGATCGCTGCAATTTGTTTGTGGTAAATTGCGATAAATTCGAACGTTTGAGGTCAAGTAACAGTGGATTTGATGGCACTTGTGGACATGTACATAGATGGAACGAATAATCGTATTGGGACACTGCTGATAACGACGGTTATCGATCTGACTGCGAGAATCGTTGGACAGCGATTAACTGGAAAAGCCAAATTGGATGTGTTGAAATTTGTTGATAAAGATAAAACATTGGGTACTTCGGACTCCTCGTTGAACACCTTGGCTGGTATAGCCAAAGGCATGATCGCTGGAGTGAGTGCTCATTCATTTGTTTATTTGCATTGAAGAGGAGTCACAGCCCTTGTTCTCGATTCGAGATTCTTTATTGCGTTATAGGTTGAAAATTATTTCCAATTTATGTATGTTTTCATTGCAGGCAGCTAATAAGCAACTAGAAAAAGGAATGGATCTGAAGATGCCACAACTGAGTGGACTTCCAGTCCAGATCATTAATCCACAAATTGCTTTGGTCGATCATGCCATATATCTTGGTGCAGATTTTAGTATATCTCCGTTGTTGCTTCAATCTTTGTGAGATTGCTTAGAATTGCTTTGAAATTGCATATGAACATTAGATGTGAACTAAATAACAAAGCATTCTTGTTATCCTCCTTCGTAGTGGTAATTCTAATATGTCTTCAAAGCTCACAGTTACTCTAAAGCAGTAAAGTTTTCTTTTACTTGATTCAAAGAAAAAATACCACCAAAACAATGCATCATATTGTACTGATGAATTGAACGGTGTAATTTATTTATAATTATTTTCAGTTAACGATTACTTTAATGATTTGTCTGCTCATCGTTTGTTTATTAGCCACTTGATCTGTTTGTATATTATGTTATCATTTTACGAATTTGTTTCGTTGCTTCAAATATTTTCACTTTGAATTTGCCATATATCTCACAATGTTGTACGTCTATAAATGTTGTTTACCAATGGGAATTGTTCATGAATAAAGATTATTCAATTTATTGAAATAATTTTGTCAGTTGTGGATAATCGTCCACGAATGAATGAATGATCATAATCAGCCACAGAATATGGAATCAGTTGTGAACTTTTACTTCAGAGTGTATAATATATCAGTAAATGCATGTCCTCACATTGCAAGAATCACATAGAATCCTGCGTGATTTAAATGACATTATTAGTGAAGTGTAAATCAAGGAACTATCAAGAAAAAGGTTGTATCTCCTCATCTAATCATAATTTTTCGGTGAAATGCATGACATTTTGAAAGTAGGGATTCTGAGCAATCGATTGGTAAAGAAATTTATAGTTTTCCGGCAAACCTGAGAGTACGGTTATCTTGAAGATGATAACCTCTATAGAGACATAGAAACGTATTGATATTGATCTACAGTGATCGAATGTATATGAATGATCGTCTTTGCGCTTGTTTCTGAGATGGCTTTATGAAAATAGCCATATCTCCTCAAGAGAGCTGAATTTCTCAACAAAACATATGTTTTTCTGAATCTAGAGATTCGGTTGAATCGAACAGCGTACAGAATTCTATATATTATTGAGTAAAGATGAGAATACGGTAGGCTCGAAGATGGCAACCCGTAAAGCATTGAGAAAATAGCTATATCTTCTCATCTAATCATAATTGCTAAGTAAAATATATAATATTTTGAAGGTAGAGATTCTAAGCAATCGAACAGTGCAAAGAAATTCATGTACTACCGGGCAAACCTGAGAGTACGGTTACCTTGAAGATATTCGAGCCTATCGTATTCTCAGGTCTGCCTAGTAACATATGAATTTATGTACACCATTCCATGCATCGGACTCTGAAAGTTCAGAAAAACATATATTTTGTTGAGCAATTCAACTTCCTTGAGGAGATTGGCTATTTTCATGAAGCTATCTCAGCAACTAGCGCAAAGGCGATTATTCATATATATTGTATCTCTACCGATCAATTGTACAGATTACTATAGCGCTATAAGCGTTACGATCTTCAAGGTACCGGTACTCTCAGGTTTGCCCGGTAACATGTGAATTTCTTTGAATATTTTGTTCCAGCGACATCTCTGCATTCAGAAAAATGTGTATTCTGCCGAGCGATTTTGCTTAGTTGGGGAGATGTAGCTGTTTTCTAATTGCTATATGGTTCGCCATCTTCGAAGCCTACCGTACTCTCACGTTTGCCCTGTAACATGTAAATTTCTTTGCACCATTCGATTTAGCGGAATCTCTAGGCTTAGAAAAATAATTATTTTGCCGAGCGATTTTGCTTAATTGAGGAGATATGGCTATTTTC